CAATCCACACACCTGAGGTATTCCTCTTCGACTACGGAACAGTCGTAATATGGGGAATGACGCCTGCCCAAGAATCACGATTCTTGTCCGATATCTCCAAATTTGCAACCTCCATATTGAGTCCCGATGATACACAGATTGAAAACTTCAATTTCTACTATGCGCGCGAGTATCAGGCCAGGATCTACAACGACTTTATCTCTCTTCGCGATCCGCGCAACAGCATGGTCAAGCTGGCCATCTCTCATGCTCTGGCTCAATCGGTCAAGACCTCGCTTTTTGAAGATCTCGTGTCAGAGACAATCACCGACACTGCACCGCTCCCAGCCCAGATTGCGCAAACTGGTAGCGTCAATCTCACTCGTCGGCAAATCAATATGCAGATTGGAGAGCTCTTCATTCTCCGCATCAATATTCACTTGCAGGGATCTGTTCTCGATAGCCCAGAACTCTTCTGGGCAGAGCCGCAGTTGGAACCTGTCTACCAGGCAGTCCGAAGCTACCTGGAAATGGATCAGCGTGTTGGTCTGCTGACAGAGCGATTGGATGTCATTGCGGATCTTCTTGCGGTCCTGAAGGATCAATTGACGCATCGCCATGGGGAGTATCTCGAATGGATTGGTAAGTCTCCCCGAATTTATGATTTCTAACAATCCATCTAACGAATATTAGTCATTGTCTTGATCGCCGCCGAGATTCTCGTGGCTGCTCTCAACATTGTGGTTGATCTCTACGCCGGAGTAGACTAGAGTACAAAAAGTGTGCTCATCAAGCAGTCGCTCGTCTCGCCAACCAAATGTGCCTTGTGATGCAATCAATTTCGATTCTACATTGGCAATCGCAAAACGAATACATGTCAGGCCCAGACACCTAATAGAACTCGCCCGATGACCAACTGCATCTCGAATTCATCGAGTCTAATACCCCCTATCTGTATCATCTTTCCAAACTCATTATGTCTTCACCTGTACATGACAGAAGACATCCATACCCAGATAATCATATCCCATTCTTTTTTCCAATAGTGTGCTGTCTTTTTACTGGTATCGGAGTTGACGTGGGTTCTTTCATGGAAAAATGGAGTTTGGAATATGTACAGATCGTGTCAATCAACTCAAAATGCCACTGACGTTGCGGAATGACGCTGTTAGCCCTGTAGGCGCTTTCTTTCAGACGGAACCCAGTATTCGTAGTCTGTATGCTCTATCAACCCCAAATAGTGGTATGAAGCTTCCCAAATATCAAACAGATAGAAACATACAGAAATGCACCTTTTCTATTGTCATCATCAGCCTTTTCTCTCTCCCTTTTGCTTTGCTTCTACCCTTTGCCTCGACTAATAGGAACAACATGTATAAGAAACGCTAGAAAGGAGGAACTAGTTACTTCAACCATGCATCCAGCATGAGATTTCTCAGATGAATTTCATATCAGACATAGACACCAGGAGACCATATAGTAGAAAAGCCCAATAAAGGCCAAACAAAAAAAAAATAAAAACATATGAGCAAAATAGACCAGCACCGCATTCAAACCCGATGCATAAAACCCTCACAAAATAAACCTAAACAGCAGCGAGTCTCATCCACGACTCAGCGAAGCCCATAAAAGAAAGAACAAAACACACAAAAACTAAGCCTGCTCAACCTTGGCCACCTTAACATCCTCCTTATCCATATCCATCGGCGTAGTCCCAGACTCAGGACCAGCCTCAACAGCAGCAGGGGTCTGATCAGCAGAGCCACCACTACCCGTCTGCACACGGAAGGAGTGAGTAAGAGACTCCTGTGTGGGGGCAGGCGCAAGACGGGGCAGGGCTACACCAGCTGGATCTGCAGATTCGGGATGTCCATCATGAGCGGGGAGATCATCATCCTGGCCTTCAATGCCGGTGGCGTTGGACTTGCGTGAACGCTTAACGCGTAGGGGACGTTCCTCGGGCTATAAAAGAACAAATTAGCTCAGATCCGACAGAGAGAGTATAGGATAGGCAGTAGAAGGAACGAGATGGGGAATTACGCATATAACGTACCGTGCGCGGCTGCTCATCAGAGCTACCCTCGGTATCATCTTCCAGAAGCCCAGCTCCACCCTGTGCACCTGTATTCATCATTTCCGCGGCGCGGGCACGCAGTTCTGGGTTTGCGGCGCTAGTCTTTGCCTCGTCAGCCATGCCGGTTACCTTTGTCAGACGTTCGAGAAGCATGCAGGTCTCAAGGCGCATTTTCTGGATGTATTGGGTGCCGCGGCGGTTGCGGGTGCGCATGATTTCATTTTCGGCTTCGACTTCTGCGAGGCGCTTCTTCAGCGCTATGCATTTGCGCTTGTAGGCGATCTCCACGCTGGGGGGATTGGCTGGTGGGATGGAGGAGGGTTGGCGGGAGGATTCCATTTTGACTGGTGTAGAGAGGGACTGGATTGTAGACGTGGCGATATTTAGTTTGGATATTTAATCGGAGCTGACACAGAGCACACGATGCGAAGGGGGTGATGTGGAATATAGAAAGAAGAAAAAGGATCGGATGGAAGGCAGCGGAGTATAGTATAATTTTTATGTCGGTTAGGCGCTGATTAGTCGTTGTTCCACGCGGTTACCCAGTCGATTGACTGAAATGGTGAGGCTATTGAGGAAGTGCTAAACGCCGTCGGCAACAATGCGATGAGCTCCAACATTATTCTGCCCCGATATCAAAGGCGGTCTACACAATATTGTTTAAGAACTGTTTATCCATTAACTCCCTGCTATATACCATTGCTCTAGAAAAACAAGCATCAACTAATAATTATGACTATTTAGTGGCCTCCAGTGGTGGGAAGGCCAAGGAACACCTTGAAAGAGTCATAACTGAAGAACGTCAGCATCACTGTACACGCAAATCAGGACGGAGAAAACACTCACATGAGCCATTGGAAACCGGTCAAAGTGCCCAACATCACAATACGAACAGGCAGACCATTCCATAGACCAGAGAAGCCAATGTTCCCATAAATCCGGGACACGGCAGTCATCGCACCTTCACCGGCTACAAACGAGCGGTCAGTATATATCAAAACTGCAGCCGAAAGAGAAACAAACTCACCTTTACGATCAGCATTCAGTTTGCTAACCATGACATCTGCTGGATGGCTAACAATAGCACAGAAGATTCCAGCAATATAACCACCCAAGAAGCTAACACCGGTCTGTGTCAATTGACCATACTCCTCTTTGGACTTGCCCATAGTGCGGTAGATGATCTTGACCGTCTCCTCAAAAGTGGCAAACTTAGTCATGGTGTACGGGATCTGTCTGGCCCATAGAGGGTACAATCCCTTATACAACCCACCAAAGCCCTCCTTGGCGACAATCTTGCCCCAGCCCTCGCGCATAGTGGAAGCATATGGCGGCAACGTGGTCTGCATGCGGACCTTGATAGCCTCCATGGGACACAGCGCCATATCAGCAAAGAACTCAGCAGAGGCACTAGCACCGAGGAAGACCAAGGTGCGATTGGATTCTGGGAACATCTGGTTTCCGTATATATGCTTGAAGTACTCGTATAGACCGTACTTCCCGGCACCCTGGAAGGAATAGCCCAGGAAGGTTGGAGACCAACCAAAGAAGACGCCGCGTAGGCCTTCTTTGGAGAAGATTGTTCGCCATGCTTGGATGTTGGAGCTGTAAATCTTTGGATCAACCTGGCGACGGCATTTTACGAGGTCAAGAGGTGTGACAGCTGTGTGAGTTGGTCCTGTGTGGGATTGGGTGTCAATTGGGTGTATTAGTTGTATATTCGAAAGCTATCACCTACCACAAGCTGGAGTAATATTGTTAGCGCGTTCCTGACATGAGAAACTTGGGACATACCGATGATTCCACCTAAACCACAGCTAAGGAAGTACTTGAGGGAGTTGGGCTCGATCTTCCCAAGGGGAAGTTTGCGTTCTTGTGTAGCCATTATGTGTTTCTTTTTGTAAATGTAAATACTTGGAAGAGGGGAAAGTTGTATAAAAAAAAGCAAATTGTACCTTGGAGGAACTATGTCGTCAGTGATCGACCTGGGCTTATCTCCACAACTGGAACCTTTGGGCCATACAACATATGCGATCTTCGTCTGTACTTTGTATGTCTACAATATATGTAGGTCTTAGGTTATCTTACTATTTATTCTCTGGGCAATCTTAAGAATGTGTATTCTTTTGCAAATATTCCAAGTATTCCCATATGACGTCAATGAGGTGATGCCCACTATGTATATCAGCATAAAGCCGAGTTAGCCGTTCCACTGCATAAATACACATAGCTTTAATGCTTTAATGCAACCAAATCTGGTTTGATATATTTAGCAACGTCATGGAGACTCTTACAATGTGCTATAATAATGTAAGCTATGAAATGTATAGGACTAAAAAAATGGCAAAATATATATATATACCTTAAAGATGTCTTGTTCCTATATGGAAGGAACAAAAAGAACGTGCAACCTGTGGGATTCGAACCCACGCCACTTTCGTGACCAGAATGCTCACACATAAATCAGTGAAAGAGAAAACTCTTGAGTCTGGCGCCTTAACCAACTCGGCCAAAGTTGCTCGGATCAAAATTTTCCTCAATTAATATGTCTTCCTTTCCTCAGCACGAGTTGATCTAGTGTCATATGCCTGTTTAACTCAAAAGAGAAAAGAATGCATTCCAATTAAAATATCAAAGATGGGGAGAAGAAGAGGAAGAAGCAAGCAGTCAATCCCTAAGGATTAAATACTGTTGAGCAAATAAACTAAGCAAACAACCTCTTTCCTAATTAGGCAACTCTTTACACAAAGGAAAGAAAGAGCAACGGGTATGGATTGTGACAGGATCGACTTTGTAGAGTATGACTATATACTTTTCCAAGCGACATGTCACATCCACGAACAAAGAAGTATATACCTGACTGAGCTTTAGCGTACAAATGTCAAAAAGAAGACCTATATGAACCCCAACTTCAAGGCTCTCAACATGCTAAAGGTTCAACTTGGACATGCCTCGCTATTACTATTCAGAACCCTCTGAAACTGACAGTGACTACCATGATGATATTCCCTACAGAGAAAATATGACTGTTTCAAAACGTGCAAAGCGGACGAAGCCTCCTGAGCCAGACCCCGGCCCATCTGTTCGAGTCCGTACGTCTACCGAACTCGAGGCTGCCATTCAATCACAAATAGAAGATCGTGAGTCTGATATTGAATAATCTCTGCCAGATTAGCTCGCTAATAGAATTGATATAAAGCTTCCATCTCGGGTCTAGACACCACCGGATTACCCATCTTACGCAATTTCCTAACCATGTTCGAAAAGAAATTCCGTGATTTGCACCCCGAGCGGGCCGAACTAGACTGGAGAAATGGTGTACGCAGGCCAGCGAGGTCTGCAGTGGCTCGACGTTCAGCGCAGGGACAGTTATGTGGTGTTCAAGCTCCACCGGGTCAAAAATGTACCAACTGCGCTGAGGCCAAAGGTACATTCGACAATTGCCGGATCGTTTTCGTGGAAGACAAGGTTCAATGGATGTGGTCCTGTGCTAAGTGTGCCTTTGTTGGAGGAAACCACAAATGCTCTTTTCGTAAGACCGCTGTACTCGCGAATTGCAATAAAACTAACATACAGATAGGTCCTAATCTATCCTCCAAAGTGCCTTCGTGGGTTGTCGAAGCCGTGACTAAACGTCAGCCCGGCAATGAATTGCTGAAGACATACTATGGCCGAAAACCTGCAGCTGCCACCCCCGAGACCGCGAAGTCGACTAGTCGTAAGCGCCCTACAGCTATGACCCAGTCGAGCCCCGAACAAATTGGAATTGATCAAGCGTCACTGCATTCTCCGGCAATTAAACGTGCCAAAAGAATTCCATTGCGCAGAAACACCGTGTCAAAGAGCACACCCGTTGCTCCAAAAGGTATAGACAAAGAGAACCCCGCTAAGCGTCGCAAGTCAGATGTCGGTCCCTCGAAGGCCAGCGTGCCGGACACAGCTAAGCGCCGCAGGTCAGAAGTTGCCCCTGCGAGAACCAGCGAGGGCGCCACTACCGACACAGCTAAACAGCCAGGGGTTGCACCTACAAAGGCCAACGAGGGCGCCGCCAAGGATGCACCTAAGCTTAAGAACGGAGGGCTCCCATTCAACATGGCCTGGTACAATTCGCCTCTTGAAAAACCCGAAGTGTACCGTATGAAGGATAAATCATATGCTCTTGATACCTACAACGATCTTGCAGATATCCTGGCGCGCATCACGGAGGATCAGAGTCGTATGAAGGCAGCATTGGTTAGGAAAGGGTTCTTGCCGAAGTCGGATGACGAGGAGTCTGAAGAGGAGAATGTGTTTGCCTTAGTGTGAGCACATCCGTGGGGTTCAATAATGCTTCTATTATTCTGAAATAAAATCGATAGCCGCAAAATATAGAATATGTGCGGTACAAAGGGTTATGGTGTACATTACATATAGTGACCGAAGCTGTCCGAATTACCTATTTTTACCATGGGCCCTGATAAATTTCCAGAGTATAGCACCAGATCCCGGGCAACGGCACTTCAAACCCCCAATCAAGATTGGTTACCGAGATTGTACGCACCACGTGGTAAATCCCCAAGAACCTCGCCTTGCACCTCATCCTGCTCTCCACGGATACGCTCCGCCTCACGAGCAAGAACCAACGCCAATTTAATGCCGAGTGTAGACCCGACACGCGATAGCACAGTGCGGATCAGCTCCGCCTGCGCCGGGGTCGGCATACCAGAGGAGAGAATATACCACAACGGCCAGAGCAAGCCATAACCCTGCGCAGCGCGCATTTGCCACGGGCTATCTGATTTATTCGGGCGACCGAGAGAGTCGACGTCCGCCAAAGCGAAAGGGATGCTGCGACAGACGTCTGTGGTCATTTCCCGGATTATAGCTTGCAGAGCTGGCTCGTCAAGGCATTCAGACTCAGGTTCGGAACTGGTATCCCGCGAATCGGAGGATTGCTTGGCCGCTCTGATGGAGGTGAGGGTCCTGTTTAGACTGAGGAGGAGTTGTTGTACCATTACGCGTACTGCGCGGTAGTAGTTCCAGACCACGGCGTTGGAGATGCGGTTGTAGGTTAGGAGGGGTTCGCCTTGTGCTGAGTAGACGACTAGTGGGAGCCAGCGGTCTGGGAGGGTCTGTGTCCACTGGGAGAGTTCGAGATCGTACTCGCGGCCGGCTTTGATCCATGCTTCGACGGTTGCTTGGTCTGGGGTTGGTGTAGATCTCATGTAAAGGGACAACTGGCAGAGCTTTGATGCGTTGAGCACGAGCCTCTCGACTGGTTTGTTGATGTCTAGCATGCTAAGGACCCAATCCATGTCGAAGCGGGGCTTGTTTCCCAGTGCGAGGATTTCAACATACTATACAACAGTCAGTCTCGGACTGATATTTAGTTATATATGTCAGGTCCCGATGTTAGACTCGTATGTCAAACCTACATTGTGTGTATAAGCAAACGTAAGCATATCCCGGCCACGTTGATGATAAACCTGCGTGTTTCCACGGAGCTTTGTCAAGAACTCAAACCCAGCCGTATGCGAGCTGAACAATCCATTCCGCTCACCCGATATATCCTCATATAACGAAAGTAAAACCACCGAAGCAAAAGTTTCATCCTTGACCGCATTAGCCGGCGACGCCAGCGCCTCCTGCAACCCCCGCAGAGCCCGCCCATAGCCCTGCCGTGCCTTGGTCATTAGGGGCGGCGCATTCTTCGTATTGGCGAGAGTCATCAGCGCCGTGGCATCAACCGCCCATCGCAAACAGGAAGACGACGATTCGAGCTCGCGCGCGTATAGCGAGGGCAGATAGTCAAGATGTCCGTCCTCCTCGGAATCAGCTTTGATGGTGTGTTGGTCAAAGAAGTAGCACAGAGCCCGTTGCTCCCAGCTGGAGTCAGCGAGTGAGTATAGCGTCAGTGCATGGTGTTTCCCGTGTGAACTGGCGCGCCGGCGGTGGACCACTGATATAGATGAGTCCGATGTTGAGGAGCTGTCTTGGCTGTCGGTATTGCTGTGGGCATTTACCATGGCATTGCTCTTCACCAGTCGCTCGACTTTTCTGGTCTCGTTGCGGAAGACAGCATCCGGCCTGTACCCTGGACATGGTCGGCCATAGATGATGCAGTTCCGGCACTCCGGATGGGCTTCATCGCACTTAGAGGGGGAATTTTAGCCATATAGACTTTCAATGCATGCAAATAAAAATACATTTACAGGTTTATTGGTGGGGTAAATCAGAAAAAAAACTCAAATATTGAAGCTTCAGACATACCTTTATCTTCCGCTTCCGACAGAGGTAACATCCGGTACTTGGCTTGCCCCCATAGACCATTGTTCACCCACGGGCAGTCTTCTGAATGAGCCTCTAATAATTGCGGGTACTTCAACAGAAACCGCAAAGGGGGCTGTACGTTACAGACAGGTCCGACTTGATCTGGGTTCCACAAAGGTTAAGGACGGCCGTTTGTCATCGGTTGTAGCTGGATCAACTTGGCTGCCTAGTCGGAGCGAAGCATATGCACATCTTAAAGGATGTGCAAATGGGTTTCTAGAGATAATTTTTTTCGTGTTATTTCAGCAATTACTGCTCACGTTAAGGTCTAAGAGACGTCTGGTTTCATTCAGGACATTTCTCAAACCTCGGCACCCGCGGTCCCCGACTAAGCCGCTTAGTCATTCTCCACACTGGCCGGGGCCCCACCTGGGCAGGGTGGGCAACCAAGGAGGTAGAACATTAGGAATGTTGATATAGGTTTCATCAGACTAGATGGTATATTCCAAGAGTTTCCAGAAAGGTATCATGTACTCAACCACAAAATACTCCGAAATGGCTGATATGAAATAAAAACAAGGTAGAAAGATCTCAAAACTCCAATATGGCAACTTCACCAATCTGGAGAAACCCAAGACACAGTAACCAAACAGATTCGCAACCCCAAATACATATGCAACCGCTTGGTGCTCTAGAAACACCTAGGGAGGAACGCCGGTAGCTCATTCTGAAGGCAAAGCACCCACTGTTGACAAAAACACACTGCGCTCAAAGAGATGTGGGGATAAAATGACAAAACAAAGGGATATGCGTAATCGTTAGATGGCAGGATATCAAATCAAACGGACTGGTTCAGACCAAATCAGACCAGTAAATGCTAAGGGGTTAGGAAGAGGGTGCGTCTGGCATAAGTGCATCGCTATCAGTGCCTAAAGGGATTGATGGAGGGGGGTCAGAGCAGAGGGTGCGACGTCTAGGTTGAGCAGCCAGCTCGCTCTCAACAGAGCTTAGACCCGGGGTGCTTAAAGCACTCTCAATGGCTGTATCATCGTAGTCTTCTGGCGGTGGAGAGAAAGACCAAACCTGCGATATATTAGGAAATATACTCCCATAAATCGGAACATTGCCACGTACCTCCATAACTGTGCGGCCAGATCGACTCGCCATAATTACTGCCTTTTCATCCTCAAAAGCAACCCTCCATACCGCCTCTGCCGGAGTAGAAAGCTCCCGCAATAGTTGACCAGTCTGTAGGTTCCAAACCTTGACACGACCATCACTGCCACCACTGACAATGCGGGTCTTATCAAACTGAAGACTGGTAACACTGTTATCGTGGGCGGCAAGACGGTGAATCGGTGCCATCTTCGTCAACGACCAAACGCGGACAGAGCCATCGGACCCGCCTGTCACTAACGTGTCGTCCCGCATCTGTAGCTGACCAACCAGAGACGTATGACCTTGCAAAATGGCGTGGCACTGTCCAGAGTGCGGGTCCCAAATCCGGACGCTAGTGTCCAAGCTTCCTGTAGCGATCCGCCGGCCGTCAAATGCAATGGCATAAATCTGACTGAAATGTCCTGAAAGGGTGCGAAGACAGCGTCCTTGGGAGATGCTCCATATTCGCGCAGTAGTATCATAGCTGCCCGACACTACTAGATCACCATGTATGGCTAGACATCGCACACTGGCTTGATGTCCAACGAGGACGTTGCGACATGTCCCTGTGGCCAGATCCCATATCCGAAGGGTGGTGTCCCTGGAGCCTGAGATGGCTGTGTTCCGATCCGACATCTTTAGACAACGGACGGTTGATGTGTGGCCCCGAAGAAGATGGATCCCCGCGCTGTCATGGGTTAGTTTTCGTTGTGCCAAGTTGTGGGGGTTCTGTCCTACCCAGTAGCCATGTTCCATACTCGAACTTCGCGATCGCAGCCTCCGCTGACCAAAATGTCATCCCATGGGACCATCGCCCATACTCCCATAACATGGCCTTGGAGCGTCTTCTGGTTGTCACCGTTCGTATCATAGACATGAATCTTCGCGTTATCCAACGCAACCACAATATACTTTGGAGTGAGGTGGAGACTTGTGACCACACCCTGGTCAGGGGTGATGTGGCGCTGGGTGCAGCGACCACCTTTATTCCACGCTGATTCAACCATGTATTTTTGCTTGAACTGTGAACGGTAGGAGACAGGTCGGGTCCGACGTCTTCGAGAGAAGCTTGTGGGAGGCAACCATTCTCCGGAAAGCGTGCGGGGAAGTTCCGGTGCACTCTCGGTGGCCTTACCATTTGACGCGGTCAAGCGCCGCTGCAGGCCGCCGAAGGTACGTGCGCCCGAAGCCGAGTCTACGGGATGGGCGGTGAAAGGGTCGACGAGGTCCCCTTCATCTTCCAGAACCCGTCGCACCGAGTATGCATGTTTTTCGCATAGATTTTTCCAGGTAATGTCATCATTTAGTAGTTCTCGCCAACGGCGTGATACTTGTGAAGCTCGGGCGAGAGTCTTGGGGTCGTCGATAAAGGAGAGAACCTAAGTTGACTCAACATTAGTACTGAATGAATAGTAAAAGATTCGACAAAATAGCTCACTCTTAAGCATAGCTCATTAGGAAAAACCTGGAATGGGTCTTTCCTTAATCGAGGACCGACGTAACTCGACACAAAGCTCAGCTGCTGACTGTCGCATACGTCCAAAAGACCCTCCAAGAGTTTTTGTTTTCGGGCGTTTGATAGAGTACTGAAGTGAATGCGGAGGTTTAACAAGAAGCTGGCCTCTTCATCGTCGGTCGAGTGCCAACTTGGCGGTCGTTGATGGGGGGTAGGGCTGGGCGCGGGTGTCGGGGGTGATGCGGGCGCTGAAGGAAGTAGGTTGGCGGGTAAAGGAGTAACAGTTTTCTTGGTGCTGAGTGATCTAGACGGGGTACTGGCGAAAGTACTGACTGGGTCGTGGGACGCATCGTTATGAATGTCTAACTGGTCTGATGTGTGCGTATTCGACCCATCTCCCATGTCGCTGAATGATGCCCGATGGGAGTCCATGGCGATAGAACAGGGGGGAGACCGCCACAGTCAAGTATAATCCTCCCACTTGTCTTTATATTTGATATAACGCACTGATCCCCCTATCGTTCACGATCGGCATAGAGTTATAAGCGAGCCGGTAAGTCGGGAGTATGGGGTTCGGGGGTATGAGGAGAAGCTGGTGAACGACCGAGGGAATGAGGGAGGTGAGACCAATATAATCCTCCGAAGGGATCGAGGCCACCCAAATTTCTTTTTTAAGAATATCACTTTTTTTTTCTGTTTTCTTTTCATTCAATCAAAGTAAGAAATGAACTTCCAATGAAAAAAAAGGCAATGAGGAAAAGGGACATTTCAAGCGGAGGCGCCGGGGTGTCGTGATTCTGACAAAGCAAAGGCGCTCCGGACTAATCAGATGAAAATGATATGGATCTTATGCATCCAGCACAGATTTCTTTTTCTTTGCATTTTCTTTTTTTTTTTGCCTTCTGATTTGCCTGATATTTCCTTTTGGGTCATGGCAAAAGAGGCAACGGGGAGTCGAGAACTTAAACCCGTTTGGCCCACCAAGTTTGATCTACAGGGCTGAATATTGAAACCTGATATTCTCAGTCAGAATATAGATCCAAGGCCTTGGATTAGCATGCGGCTATCGGAAATTGGACCATGGAACCTGTGAATAACGGGATGATTCAGACTGACGAGATTGACGAATCTTGTCATCACCCCCAGACATTATGAAAAGCTACCCCCTGGGGGAAATCGAACACTGGGGGGGGATCTGTCTTTAAATAAGGCAACAGTGACGCTACGTAGATGTGATCGTGAGATAACATGCAATTATGACCATAACATCTATTCAAACATATCCTCCATTATCAATTTATCTCACTCCATCTCTCAAACTATATCTTGCAATGGGTATAAGTCCCCCAAAAATCTAGTTTAAAAAAAGCAAAAATGTAAAAAGCATACTTCCCAATACATACGGTACTTGCTCAGTGAGCATGTCCAATTTGCAAGAAGAGTGGCAAGATCATACCCAAAACAGATGCAATCAAATCTCTCATAGACTTGTCCGATCCACCCTGGTCTCGGTCACCATATCCGTTGGTAGGAAGTTCGCGCGGGGACGAGCCCGGGCCATTTTCTTGCATAGTGTGCATCGCAACATACCTATAAGAAATTAGTAAAAGAGATCAATAAACTCGACAAATGAATACTCACAAAAAGGTACCACCAGAGAAAAGCAGTAGCATTCCAGTGCGCCAGTGAGTGCCTGCCTCATCGGCACCGGAAGATCCCATCATCTGTACAAAGAGGAAAGTTGCCAAGGCACCGAAAGGAGCTGCAAGACTGAAGACCAGCAAATGCGCTCTTGCGGTACGACTTGACAGCCCTTGCTTTAGTAGGATGGACGTTAATCCGAAAGACGCTGGAGCCTTGTGCACCATAATTGCCAAGAAGATAATAAAACTGAGCCCGGCATCCGAGCTAGAAGCGCCTAGAGCAATACCATCCGCCGCGGCGTGGATAACTAGACCGGTCGTGGTCGCAAAGCTATGACCACGTCTGGAGGTGTGGTTCGCATCGAGTAGTCCACCATCGCGGGAAGGGGAAGAACCCCGCCGCAGTCCAGATCCAAGGTTATCCAAAGAGATATGGTAAGGTGTCCGTTCGTGCTTAGTTGGCGCCGCGAATTCGGGCAATTTATCGACGAGGTACATTAAAATGAAACCACTGATGAGAGCGATTCCGACCCACGCATGTGGCGAACTCTCCTCCTCTCCGTGAACTGTGTCCTTTCCCGTTGTTTCACCAGTTGAATCCTCCGTTCGGACATAGACTGTTTGCGGTTCGGAAAGCTGGTCTCTTTCCAAGAGGACACCGGGGACAGGGGTATCGGAGGGTAGGTTTGACGCACTGTCTACATTGGCGCCAAAAGTAGCCATGGCCGGGGCCTGATGCTGCCATTCGATAGCGGTAGCCCGTGTACTGTGTTGCTTGCGAGTGAGGGAGTGTGCGCTGTAGAGAGTTTCGATGCCCTCGGGGATGATTACGATCAACGATGTCCCCACCAGAACGCCCATCCCAATGGACGATATTAAGCGGAGTTGAGATGGAGACAATGTAAACGCGAGAGGTAATGAGCCGACGACAAAAGACCTGCCAATGATTCAGAGCATTAGCTTGAACCCATTGTTTTCCAAGGTTGTAACTCACGTAATTGCCATCACAATGCTCAGAGCGAGCAAAGTGAATAGTCCCTCCATGATGATCTCCTTCACTCTATAGATTCTCTATCATGGTGATGGGAATTGAAGATCCAGAGAGAGAGTCTGGAGAGTTGTGTGGTTGCGTAAGAGGCCAAGGTGGTGGAAGGATCCAGGACCCACGTCGCCCTAGACTCAGGTACCGCTTTCATTACATACCAGGGGGAAATATGGAGCATATGATGTGTGTGAAGTACGGAGTATTTTGGAAGGGGCATTTTTATTTTTATTAACGCCCTTGAAAGGTATATAGGGCTTTAAACTAATTTTAGAACATGTTGGTCATTCTATACCAGCACATTTGGCCTCACTGGACTTGGTCTATACAGGGCCGAGTGCAACCATCCTTGCTTGGATCCTTTTTGTTCCTCTTTTATTTGCCTACATTACTTTACTTTATGTCTATTTTCAACATTTAGAGTTATTCTTTGACAATATGATTTGTTCAAGCCACGCAAGCCACTATCGGCCCGCACATTGATACCCTATGCTGATCCGGAGAACACAGTAGTTACATATACTCCACTAGGGATATGCAAAGTCTGCAGATCACAGATCAAAGGCTAATCTACCACGCGATTGTTATCGCATCCGAATATCTGAGTCCCGACTACCGTGTGCACCCTTTGGCAGTCGAAACCCCAGGTACGGCAAATATTTCCCTGGGTGCCAGTAGACAAAAAGGGCAACACATGGATAGATAACCAGCGCGTCAAAGACATACAAGGGCCACTCATGAGTGTTCAAATGTCCCGTTGTGCCTTCGGTAAATTCCACGAGTCGATAGACAGACCGAACCTAATACGAGTCAGTGAATTGAACAGCGGCTTAAGGTGAAGAAGAACTGACAAGAATCAATATTGTGGTGAGATTGATAACCCTCAATAGAGCAGGCCAATTCTTGTTTTTGGCGACATAATGAATTCTGTATTCGTTCTTCCCAGCATTCTCATGTCTTTCACCCAGGGAGCCAGTGAATCGCTTAGAAGTGAAGTTGAAACGGACAGCTGCGACTGTGAACAAGCCAAAGGCGACCAGCTGGATAATAACACCTATCTGTGCAACATGTTTTGCCGTGTTGAGCTTGTTTTTTGCATCCTTATCTGTGGCATCGACCGAGGTAATCATCACTGCACCGCCAAGCTGGAGTAGCAGAGCAATGATATCGAACCCAACGAAGATAGGTGTAATGAACCGGGGAGGTACCCAGCACAGTCAAAATGTGCGTGACTCTTGGGGGATGACCAGAAACAGAATGCGGCCGAAGATAATGTAGCAACACGCTGCCATGAGGACAGGTGCAAGGATTATGAGGGCAAATTGAAGGACGTAAACAGGTCTCGCCAATTTATTCTGGACTGAGACGCATCGGACAATGTAGCCTATTGCTTCCACTAAATTTTGAGTTAACTTGAGTAAACTACAGACCAAACCTTGGAATGCGTAGTACTGGCTGCTGATATCACCATGATGCTCCAGACCCAGGCCTTATACCGGATCCATTGTATGGCTGTCAACACAAAAGCAATAGTATAAAAGACAGCAGCAACGATTGCCACTGCCTGGGAAGGGTCATAATGATAATAGGATGCTCGTCTTTTATTGTGCATAGCACGCTCGATGAGAGACATTGTAGATTTCTTCTTGGTGTCTTCTCTGCTTGTGAAAGAAATAAAAGATTAAGAAGTTTAGATGGGGATTGCGCGACTTTTTAGTGAGGGAAATTTGGCAAGTGCTGACCTCTCGGCGTCATGGCACTTTCCCAGTGGAAGCTAATAGAAATTTTAGCAATTTAGTATACTGACGACATTGTTACAGGCGTCTAACTATAAGATCTTCTCTATGAGCCACCGCATGGGTAACAAGTAGTGGAAAGACTTCAAGATACTGAATAGTGACACTGATTCCTCACATCTTAGCACCATATCAAACTCAATGACCAGCAAGGAGATGAGGTAGTGGAGTTTCAAAAATTCCCAAGCGGGCCCGAAAGCCCACTTGAAGTAGTCAATTTGGTAGTTTTCAACTAGTAAAAACACGATCTCGGATGTCTCCTCACTGATACGTGTAAAACCCGTGCACTAGGATGGAGAAGGAAAAAGAAGAAGAGGAAGTTCTAGGGGGACAGGTAGGGGTATTTATACTTCTTCAGTTGCTGCGGCGGCAGACCGTTCGCAGGCGGAAAACCATAGTTGACCATGGAATATTGACAGTATAATACAAGTCACAAGTCGCCTTAAGCTATATTGAACAGGAACCTTGGTTTTTGTTATGGTCTATGTACATAGTAGTGGTAAAATACTTGCGTATGGTGCCGAAAAATATCATAATCTACATCAATCTCTGGAGTACCCAGGAACAGTCTTAATGCCCTTCTACCTGGCGACGGTCCCAGCAACAATCATCAAGCTGTTACATAAATTGTTGTTCAATAAGGATTTGTATCTCGGCTAGGGATTGTAATTTTATTGCAAAGATAATTCACTTTTGGTAGAGTTGGTCTCTGCAAAGTAACATAACAGGCAATAGAACTCAGTAGCGCACCTCATAAACTTCCATACTCTTGCCCTTATGAGACATACCTTCCATATGATAGTAGCCATTAGTACTTGATTAGGAGTAAGAACAGTCCCGAACAATGCCACGGCTGTTCTGCAGATAATTAACGTAAACAACGTTGATGGAAAATATTCTAGAACGGACGCTGGCATAAGTGCTTACAACATACAACATATGCCAGCACTTATTAAATATTATTCGGGAAATCCTCGGTGATTCTTATATGAACAATTTATAGAAAGTTTGAGACAGTACATGCAGATCCTACGCACTAATTTGCTAGGGCATGGTTGAAACACAAGTTGTTTGAGATTAAGCGCGGAACAATTTGATAAAGATCCTCGAATCTATGCCAAAGTTCATTCCATAAAGTTTGATCTAACATCATTTAGGGGGGAACCTCTGGAGAAATTTATATTGGATTCGTTCTGTTGATTATTCACTCTAGGAATCACGATCTTTTATTAATACATTTTGCTAGGCTGGTCCTACTCGGCTTCGGTTTTGTCTTTGTTCCTTTCTCTTGCCTTGGAAGATTTGTATTCATTTCTGTTGTCCTTCTCTTTGCAATGGTCGCCTTTCTTCCTTTCGTCATACCTCTTCTCCCCCTTGTAGCAGGTTTTGTGCACCCTGGTCTGCTCGTCTCCGATAGTGATATCTCTCGCACCCAGAAAAAGATCAAGGCCAACCAGGATCCATGGATTACATCTTGGAATACCCTGACCAGTCTGTCATTTTCTGATGCTAGCTATACTCCTTCCCCAGTTGATGTTGTCTATCGGGGTAACTGGGATGGCCATACGGAGAACGCAAAACTCCTCTGGCATGATGTCGCGGCAGCATTCAATTTAGGCCTACGCTGGAAGATATCTCAAAACACGAGTTTCGCCGATGCCGCTAGCAATATCCTGCATGCATGGGCGACCAATCTCACTGCATTCGGCGGTGGTGACGATAAGTACCTCACAGCTGGTCTGCAGGGGTACGAATTTGCCAATGCAGCCGAACTTCTTCGCGACTATCAGCCCTTCGTGGACAATGTTCTCCCAGCTGTCGTGGAAATGGCTAATAATATCTTTATTCCGATGCACTACAGATGGCTAAACCACGAGGAGCCCTCGGAGCATAATATTCTTCATTTCTTCGCGAACTGGGAGTTGTGTAATGTCGCTTCTGCTATGGCTATGGCTGTCGTAACCGAAAACCAAACAGTGTGGGATTTCGCCGTGAATTACTTCAAGACTGGAGACGGAACGGGCGGGATCAATAATGCTATCAACAATATCGTTGAAGAGCCTGGCACTGGAGTTTTACTCGGTCAAGGCCAAGAATCTGGTCGTGATCAGGGCCACTCAGCATTGGACATACAACTTCTCGGAGTTATCGGGCAGCAAGCCTGGAACCAAGGAGAGGATCTATTTGCCTATAATGATAGCCGGATTCTCCGTGGGTAAGTACCATCCAATAGTTCCAATTTTTTGCCTTGTCATTTATTCATATCTTGCCCTAGAACGGAGTACTTCGCGCGGTACAACCTTGGAAACGACGTCCCCTTCGTCTACTACACGAACGGTATAGTCAGCCACACAGAGATCAGCAGCGCCTCTCGTGGAGCTGTTAGACCTACTTGGGAGCTTCTCTACAATCATTATGTTACCATGAAAGGAATGGATGCACCTTGGACTACTCTGTTCCTCAACAACTCTCTTGAATATTACGGCGGTGCGGAGGGCGGTGCGGGCTCATGGGGAGAAGGATCTGGCCATTACGATGGGCTGGGCTGGGGATCATTACTCTATCGCATGGATGAGTCTGATGTGAAAGCTGCATCCTCCGAGTCAGCGTCATCTACGGCAAAGCCCACACCAAGGGTGTCCACTACATCTCACGCAACGACTACGACTTCTGACGCATCCAGCAAAAGTGCGCTTGCTTCGAGCTCAACCACCACGGAAGTTCCTGTTGCCTCAACTACTTTGAACACCGAAACATTCGCATCGTCAACTACTGCAACCAATAGCGGGACACCCCGGTCTTTTACTAGCAGTACAACTTCGGCCGGCGTATCAACAACTTTGCCCACTGTCCCACTTGATGGGTCGCATGACTATAATCACCACCACCATCACCATCATCATCATCACACGGAGGGTCAGACACAGAATGTCTGCCACGTACAATACGTCTACATTTAGATGCCCTAAAAGGGCTTCTGCAAGCGTTGACCCTGTCTAAGTTCTTTTTGCCATGTTTATTTCCTAGTCTGACTAGTCAACCACTTATTAAATGTATTTAATTTTTCTTATATTTATAAAGCTGGCCCGTTGGTGTTGTGTTTGTTAAACCAAATCTTACCATGATCCGAGGTATCGAAGTCCCGTCTGAAGAGTTTCCAAAGAGAGCTTGTCAAGAATCACGCATAATTAGCCATTCTAAAATCTGAATCAAATAGCTAAAACCAACGCAATATATTTAACCTCGACGTGTATGTATGTTCTGGACTAAATGATGGAACATAGACCCGATTGGGAAAGTCCGATGCCAAGCATCTACTTCAGTTTCAGTGGAGCTCTGGGCAGGCCAAGCCCCAAGTCATCGACTCATCTCTGATTCTCATGAATTCCTTGCCAATTTAGAATTGGATATGACACCCCGGCATCTACTCAGAGACAATGCCTTTCTATGGTCGTCCTAGTAAAGGCTGCTGCAGCTGTCGGGAAAGACGGATAAAGGCAAGTGGCGTGGCCTATATCCAACCAATTGCAGACTAACATGATCTAGTGTGACCGGCTTGATCCCGTGTGTTCTCAATGCAAGAGAGTTGGCAACCAATGTGGCGGCTATCGGGATCTGCCGTCTTTTATGTTCCGTGATGAGAATGACAAGGCGGCTCGACGAAGTGCAGAAGCAAAGGCCAGGACCGAGGCCCGTCGAAGACTGGAGGATAGTGCAGCTCTAGAATCTGATATATCCACCCCCTGCTCGCAAGCCGATTGTTTGCTGTCAGATGCTCTGATGTGCAAGAGCAGGGGCCAATTGATCCTCACCCCGAGAATTACTGCCCCGCTGTCCACTCCATTGGAGGACCAGGGGTTGAGGTTCTTTATTAACCATTTTGTGATGCGGATGGCCACCGGACCAGACGGCTCTCTAGATGTAGGTAGCTTGCCACCATCTCCTCATTTTGGAGCAATCAACCTCGATCAGTCGAGTCGAGATGCTGTCATCTCGGTTGGACTTGCTGCCTTGTCCAATGTCAATCATGACAAATCACTGCGGATACTGTCTCGAGAGAAACATGCCATGGTCATCAAAGCTGTACGGGAAGTAGTAGAGGACCCCGCTCAGGCCAATCCCGACACAACGGTTTCCTTGATCGTAATGCTGAGTTTATACGAGGTGCGTTCTTCAAGTCGACGATCTCTATTTGCGTTTGAACCATTGCAACGAACTGACCCGCGCAGATGGTCAGCTGTGCCCCAAATCGGCTCGACTCTTGGATAGTGCATCTAGATGGTGCAACTGCCTTACTTAAACAATCCACCTTTGGGCTATCACTCACGACTTTGAACCATCGAGCCTACTTACAATTCTACTTTATTTCAATTGTCAAGTATTTCGCCGAGAGGACTTTGACACCGGATCTACTCAACTGGTCTCCTGATCTCGTACCCTCTGCGCTACCAGATATCTTCCCATGCCTTGGTCTTGTTGATATACTCGTAAGATTCACGAAGTTCGATGCATGCCTACATCATGAAAAAGCCAATGCCAGAGCAGCAGTGGACTCAGCACTATTGTTTGAAGATCAACTTTGCGAGTGGGAAACTCATTTGCCAACGTACTGGTCCTTTACTGTGAAAGAATCTAATACATACGAGCACACCTTTCGTGGCCAGTATCATGTCTACAAAAACATGTGGGTTTCGAAAATTCTCAACCACTACCGCTGGGCACGACTGCTGGTCAACGAGACCATTGTATCCCTAATCTCGAGAATGGCACGACCCACAGCAAATGATATAATTCAACGACAGCAAGCATTGAACACAATCGCTTGCATGGCAATTGACATATGCGCCGGAGCTGCAAGTCAGGAAGCTATATCCGAGCAAGGGGATACCGAAGACTCACCACCTATACCCCTGTTGAATGGCATTTTCATGCTGCTTTTCCAATTGGGAGTGGCCGGAGGTGCGGCGGGGACCCCCGATGAAGTCCATGATTGGGTTATTGGGACACTTGAGCGAATAGGATATACGATGGGGATCCGGCGAGCTCTGGAAATGATACCTCAACTGAAGAAATCAGTCAGGAAATGGAAACTAGATCAAAAGCTGTGGAACAGCAGATATGAGTATAATAGAAGTCAGACATAAAAGGACAGCATCCGACATACGTATCTTCATGGAAGAGTCTGGTACGGAGAATAGACTGCTTATGCATCTATTTAGGAATTGGACAAAAAAAAAGAGCATGATATAGATTATACAAATGTTCTTAAGGCCGAGTTCATGTCAAGTTCTTCACTCGAATTTAATATACGGGCCATAGATCCAGATTAGGTAATACTGATGCGCGCCAGGGCCGGGGCGCGTATTCGCGTCGCTCTTTAGACCTTCCATTGTCTTATTTGACATTCAAATTCCACATATCCTGTCAAAATGGCGAGCGAAACTGAATGTAAGTTACTAGTCTCCCATTATCTGACGCCCTAAAGATATAAGCTGATTAACATTCACTTTAGGGTCTTGCGACGCCAACGATGCGGTCCATGTTACCATCGTTCAACCCGGCGAGGAGAAGCCGAAAACACTTTCAACGTTCCACCCACAATTTACCTATCCTATCTTTGGTGATGATGAGCAAATCTTCGGCTACAGAGGCTTAATTATCCGGTTACGCTTTGCGGCCCATGATTTGCGCCCTCATGTTCACATTTCCTACGACGAGAAGTTCAAGCCGGTCGGTGACACAGTTGCTGTTGATCTTCTCGATACTTTGAAGCCTTTTGTCCAGCAAGGTGAGTTTGAGCTTTGCGACAATATGTACGATATAAACTAACCACCATTTTGCGCAGAGGCATTCGCCAATCTCTCAGACTATGAGAAAGCTGTTCAAAACGACCCAGACGCGAAAGATTTCAAACCCCCCGGCGAGTTTGTCATCGGTTACGAAGTTGATGACAGAAAATATGAGGTCTGGGCTGGATCACTCGCAGATCCGCAAGTGCGGAAAATTCTGGATCGCATGCAGATTCTCGTCTCCCTCTTCATTGAAGCTGGAACTCCCCTAGACACAGATGACCCGGAGTGGACGCTCGACCGCTGGAGGGTATATTTCGTGTATGTCTTTCTTGCTGTGCTGATATTCGTGACCTCGCTCTAATCAAATTTACAGATATGAGAAGGTGACTCCTCCAACACCAACAGGATCATCATATTCCATTGTCGGATATGCCACAACGTACCGCTATTGGTATTACCAGCGGGATCAAACACAAATTCCCACAGTCAAGAACGACAAGTTCCCGCCACCAGAAGTCAACATTGCCGAGCTTCCTGCACGGATTCGTCTTGCCCAGTTCCTTATTCTTCCTTCACACCACCGCGCCGGCCATGGCACACACCTATATACCACCATCCACGCAGCCTGCATCGCAGACCCAACAATTCTAGAATTGACCATCGAAGACCCTAATGAACAGTTCGATGCGCTGCGGGATACAGCCGATTACTGTCTGCTGCGGCCGGAGTTCCTCAAGCACAATGTGAATCTCAACCCCGACCCTCTTGGGGCGTATTCTCAAAAGAAACGCCCTCGCAATGTGCCCACTTCCGCCCTCATTCCCACCAAGCTTCTCCATGACATCCGTAAATCGTTCAAGATCGAACCTACGCAGTTTGCACACATTCTGGAGATGTACCTTCTCGGCCAGATTCCTCAAAGCCACCGCCTGGCTGGCGGCACAAATCTCGCCCGACTGTTGATCAAGAAATTCAAGGCCGAAAACGAGAATGACCGACGCTACTACTGGTGGCGTATGTTAACCAAGCAACGTCTTTATAAAAAACACAAGGAACTCTTGAAAGAACTGGAGCTTCTCGACCGAGTGGAGAAACTTGATGCTACGGTCCAAAATGTGGAGGAAGGTTACGAGATTACATTGGATGCGGTCGAGAGCCGCTTGCCAGAAGGTGAATCGGAAGAAGAGGTAGAGGCAAACGAGCAGGCTAGCAAGGCTCCTACGGGTAGCCGAGACAAGCGCATCAAGCGGAAGCTCACAATTATGGATGATGACGAGGACGAGGACGAGACAGAGCTAGCTAAGCGACCAAGAGTTTGAACTCCTTGCGGTGGTCAGCTCTCCAGCTATCTTATGTACTATGTAATGCATACCCATGAGCAAGGTTTTTATTGAAGCATAAATAAGTCTCGCCATTCTCCGATAGGTGTGCAATTTAAGAAAGCTCAATTCTAGTCGATACCCTCCAATTTATGTTACCGAAAGCTCTAATACTGGTAAACCTATGAAGTTTTGATATGGAATAGTAGGTGTAAATGGAAGAATACAAAAACAAAACTATTTGAGAGTTCTAGAGTTCTGGATGCAAGTACTTGGAAAATATACTCCTTCAATTCTTTAGTTATCGACTGACTCAAGTGACAGATCGGAGGTTTTCCCAAGCTGAGTGGGACTTTTTTTTCCTGGTCTTGCTACTGAGTTTTGCAGTTCGGTGGCAATATACTAAAAAGTTCTATCCTAAAAAGAGCATAGGAAACCGGAGGACAAAGCCTGACCGCCACCAAGGCAGGTGTCAATCGTATTTATCATGTTATTTCACCTTACAATACAGTCCACCATCTCCAGATCCGCTAAACCAATCATAGACTAGCGTGTTTCAAGGGTTGAGTTTGGAAAAGAATGCAAGAGAGTAAAATGGTGAAACTGATTTCGAGCGCGTCTGTATTCCGGATAGGTATATACTCCGGTGGATCTCAACGAGTGAAGACAATAAACTGCGGGGTCTGGCCAAGGAACAGGCCAGAGCCGCGACACAAGAAGATGCTGTCCCGCAAAAGCAGGCCCCAAGGATGAAGTCAACAACACTCGTAGTATTGAAACGAAACGGACCGCGTTAAATAGTGGCTAACGGCGAAATACCGCTAGCGCTAGTTAGTGCCCTTAGTAAAACCCCAGTATCCGCAGTCGTTCTCTCCAATAATCCTATTCAGATCCAAATCAACCCTCTTCAGTCATGGCGCCCTTGGGAGATCTTACTATAGATCGATCACAGGTTGACGACCTCAACCACCAAGCAATCCTAATCTGGACCGAGTTTCATGTTTCCAAGGGACTAGAGCTGGATATCGAATGGGCTGGACATTTCCAGCCACTGCTTCGGGCCCCAGGGCACGAGGGTTCCGGGTATGCAAGAGTGCAGGAGCGCCCGGATACGATTCTTCTAGTTACAGGTGAGTTGTGTATCAACCGGGAATCAAAGGTCGTCCCGCTAACTGCTACTAAGCATGGGAGAGAGCCTCGGATATGAGGGCATTTACGGCCTCGCCTTCCGCCCAGCTCTATTGGGAGAACCTCGAGGCTAGAGGAATCAGAGCTATATCCTCTCGAGAGACATTTTCGCGGAGGAGCTCCGACTATGTGGGCCCCCGCTGGTTTGATACGTTAACCCGCTCTTATGTAGAATTGTTCTGGATATACTTTTCGACACCGGTGACTGATACCTAAAAGACTCGGATTTTAGATTCGATTGGTATTCGTGAACCGCCTGTAGGGATTGGTGGTGTGCGGTATGGTTTGAAGCGTCTTCAACCCCGCTGGCCATTAAAGATATGGGCTATTAGAACAGAGCACGTATATGGCCAAGAAGCTCAGTTGATACTATGGCCACACTTCTGGACAGACGCAGAGAGCGCCGAGTATAGGCATGTTGGGAAATATAGCAACAGTGGCCATCTTAGGTGGCACGCGAGAACCCTCCTAGAGAAGTTTGGTGATGAGCTAGAAAGTCTCGGAGCCTTAGAATGGAAGGAAGAGTTTTGTGATTTCAAGCCAATCACTCTTGCTTGAATGTCTTTATTTTTGATATGAAATTTACTCTTTGCTATTGGTAGCGACTGCTATTAAATTCCTCATACCCCCAATAGAGCAACTTTCACAATCTTACTTTATATTCTACCATAGAAAAATATACGAAACAAACCAGCGACAAATAAGTGAAAATAAGCGAGGACAAGTGTAAAGTCCCAAAATGTTTTCTATACAACTATATATAAGAAAGAAGCAAAAAGGCAGTTTTCAACGCCCTATCAAACTTTGAATAGTGATTGTGTGCCGAATTTGTCGATTTCGCTTTCTAGGAAATATCCATTTCCATTTTCGTGATTTACTTATATCGCCACGAGCCAGGCAGCACTAGTATCGAAGCTCCACCGCTTCTACGTATTCTTATTCCATATAGTCTACAGAAAATACCAATACCCCACGCTAAAGAAGACAAATGTCTCAGGATTTTAGCGCATGATATCCTGATATTTCATCCCATCCCAATATTTCCCAGTTTTTTCCTCTTCTTTCTTGGACGGCGTACCATTGGGCTTCTTGAGCGCAGTTTGCATCTTACTCCATTCGTCTTCAGGCTATCAGCGTTGGTCTGACCTAACATATCCGACAAGAACTTACATTTTGACTAAGTTTATGAAAGGCTCAGATCCCTCATATCCGTTGGTCTATGGCGGTGCCTGGCAATTCATAGAGAAGAATGGGCATCACTGATCAAGCTCGCTTGCGTAGGAGGTTAGTCTAGCTCAATCGGCGGAAGTATGCCATACCCAATTTACTCCTTGCGTCTAGCTCAATAACAAAAGAGCATGTGCAATTAAAGTGGGTTATAGTACATGTAATTAGACCGGCAAATAAAGCTTAGATCTATTTTCTCTTAGGTTTCAGTGGATTTTATACTACTGAATTTAGTCAGCCACAAGCCCCTTAGAAAATCTATATAATAGTTAGGCTTTTGCTTTAGCTAAGGGCCTAATAAGAGTTAGACTAGAATACTAGTAGTTGCTTAAACTTATGATAAGTCTTTATGGGACCTTAAAGAGAAATACTTGAAACCTGATATTTTCCTTTAAGGAGGGATCGGGGTCCTATTTATATACTTTGACACTTAGTATTAGTAGTCACAGTTCTCGCGAATAATACTTAAGCTTCTAGGATTAGTATCATTTATATTATGGTGGCGCGAAAGGTCTAAAGCTCCTAGGAAGTCCACTTAGACTTTAGCTAGGATAATATATTTTCTGATTACTAGTTTGAATATGTTAGGTGAATGAGGGGCCGCAAATTTCGTCATAGGCGGCTACCTAGACCATCCAGTAGACATAATCGATTGGTCTAGAATATTTTTAGCTGAAGTGGTATTACAAGGAGCAAGTGGGCAGGCAGCAAGAGCGATAAGCCGGTGTTATTTAAAAATTAAGCGGGAAAAAAATAATAATAAAATAGAGACAGTTGTAGAATGCGAGACTCAGCGAGTTAAATAGTAGCATAGCCGCAAAATAGTAAAACCAATAAATGTAGCCCTACTATCAATTTGCCTCTCAGCTAGAGGCGAAATAACCAGGATCGACCGCCAAATTGATGACGCCAGCCTTTCGTTGAGGGGACAATGGTCAAGAGTCTGGTGAACAAAACTGCATTTAGATGGGGCTAGCGTGGTGCATTTTATTGAGGTGAGCTGCTGACTTAGCTGCTCCCCGCGCTTTGCTCCAGTGAGCAAGTCCTTGAGCTTATGTAATAATCAGGTCGTGCTCAGTGAGCTAGTCAGAGCGCTCAGGTCAAGCTCCGTGAGCGAGCGTTGCGATTATATAATACTCAGGGACGTGCTCAGTTCTACTCAGTGAGCAAAAAGCGGCAAGGACTGAGCACTAAGGCGGAAATAGAAAGCCAAGAAGTGGCAGAGGAAATTAAGTACATATGTGTAGATGGTCGCCAAGCCACATTTGGGCTCGGCACTTCCCTTTTTCCGGTTCCCTCATCGCATCTGTTGGAGCTTGAATCCATTGCTATTCTCAACCACCCCGGATAAATCAACGGGCTCTTCCATTAGGACTTCATTCTACTATTAAATCCATAAGTCGCAGATTTTGGACCTACACAGCAACCCGCGCCCTTTCAACTTTGTGCGCCAACTGACTCTCTCACCTTTATCCACCTCGTCGATCGCATTCCAAAATGGTAAGCTCCAGCTTTACCCAAACGCTATTTCTGAGCCATATACTAAGTCAATTTCTACCCAGCTCCCTCTCGGTCTTCTTACGGCCGCACAGGGTCACCCCATGCTGGTGGAACTGAAGAACGGCGAAACTCTGAACGGCCACCTGGTTACCTGCGATAACTTCATGAACCTGATTCTGCGCGAGGTAGTGCAGACTAGCCCCGAGGGCGACCGCTTCTTCAGATTACCCGAAGTCTACATCCGGGGCAACAACGTGAGCCCTCCGACGAGCAAATGGCTAAGAGCCCCGCTATTTGGCTAAGTGCTAATATTCCCAAGATCAAATACCTACGAGTTCCCGAAGAGATTGTCGAAATTGTCAAAGAACAGCAACAGAACCAACCACAAGGTCGTCGCGGCCGAGACGGTGATCGTGGCCGCGGTCGTGGTCGGGGTGGTGGTGGCGGCCGGGGTGGACGTGGTCGGGGACGAGGCGGCCCCAATTAGACATAAGCTTGTTTTTTTTTTTC